CATATTTTTTCAGTGTTGCTACGAAGATGAATCTGAAACTGTTACTGATTTTATTGCTTGCCTGTGCGGCTCCTCGGTTTCAATTTGCATGAAGAATAGTACGAATCTGTTTGAGTACAAAGACAAATTGTATTATTTTGAAACTTTCTACAAGGTGATTGAATTTGATTGAAAATTTGTTGTTGCTCGGTTTTATAATATTTCTGTTGCAGGCTACATGGTTCAAGGCCTTTATGGCCTGCAGTAGAATGGGTATGGAATTGTTGAGCATTGATTCCAATGAGGAGTTCGATAAAATTCATGAGTTCGTCAAGAATAAAAGTAAGTCGTTTCTCATTTCCAAGTGAACTTTGCATTTTTAAATTTACTTTGTAGGTCAATATAAGAATGAGCTGTCAATCTGGACCTCGGGAGTAATGAAGGATATAGGCCAATTTTATTGGATTAATACCGGAAATCCGGTTACAATATCGAAATGGTGGTCGAACACACCGGACAATAAAGGTGGAATCGAGTTCTGCATGAACATTTGGTATAATACACACTTCCTACTGAACGATGCCACCTGCACATGGTTATCGTATTTTATATGTGAATCAAGAAAAGCTTAAATAACAAAAACTAGAAATTTTGAAATATTGTCGAGAGAGAAAAAATGCATTTCTTCTATTAATAAACATTTTGACACTATTTCTTTTTTTTTTTTTCCAATTTTCAATAAATCATATCTATAGTTAATTATCAATCATTGGATTGATTCATTTTTCAGATTCTGTTTTCTAAATTCTATGTATTGTATGCATATGTTCATGAATTATAAAGTAGACACGTCGTGATTAATTATGGATTCCGCCTCGGATGTGCCTGACCTTTTTCAAGACTTTCTTCAAACACTCCGACGCAACCCCTCAGTGATGTAAAACATTCTTTCTACGCTTTTTCGTACAGTTCAGTTTATCTATTTCATTTCACTGTACTCTGTTACCAATATTTATTTGTGTTCTTCTATCTCTGTTTATTATTATTATTGATGTTTTTTTTTTTTTTGTAAAATCTAATAACAGAAGGCTGAAAGAGGCTAAAGCCCATAGCAGTCTACATTTAACATCACACCCTATGTCATTGTAGTACAAATATGCGAATAAAAATTGAGACTTTCTTCAAGACATTTTGCTTAATTTCAGACAGAAAAGACAGTTCTGCAATTGTTTGTGGTTTGATGTAGCAATGTGTCACGTCACAAGATCTGGGCGGCCAAGAAAATGTTGTTTTAACAAATCGAAGGATTCTCTTGCTGTATGGTATGTGGCACCAATACTGTTGAAACCACATTTCTTCGAGGTCCATGTCGACCAATTGATCCCACAGAGAGTTAGATCATTCTAAAAAACAACAGTCAAATTCCATCTCCAGCCCATAATCCGCACCAAAAAAGCGACACTTCGAGGGTTCATCGTTTTTTCATTAATATGTTATTACTAGTTTTACATTATTGTCGAATAAATTATATATATACATTTATTTGTCAATATTGATAGATATTTTTAAATCAATGTTGGTCTTGACTTGGGAATATAGAGATAATTTGGAATAAAACGACTTTCGTTATTGAACTAAATTAGAAGTAAATGTTTTATATTAATGTTACCTTTAACAAATAAATAATTTACAAAAAATACTGCAAAATTTATTTGAGTATTTCATTATTCGTTCTGTGGTGCTCCGTAGCTGGTATTCCGGGAACCTTGTTAGGGTATATAAGCTGCAACATATCTGTACTCAACCTCTTCTCTTTACTCTTCTCTATTGTCTCTTCATGTGTCCTAATAACATGTAAGGTTCTCTGTATTGGTTCTCGAGCCTCGGATTCATTATAACCTTTGTATCTCTCTGTATCTTGTAAGTAGCCATGATATACCTCAAACAAACATATACACAATCATCTCCAAAGTTCTAATAATGGAATATGTTGCGTAATAAATAATTATTACATATATCTGTTGACCTGTGAGGACTTCAAGATTACTTACGTGACAACGAATTTAATCTCGGGTTTTTTCTCTGTATATAATGCGCTGCAGTATTCGCATATTTATTCAGTGTTGCTGCGAAGATGAATCTGAAACTGTTACTGATTTTATTGCTTGCCTTGTGCGGCTCCTCGGTTTCAATTTGCTTGAAGAGCAGTACGATTCAGTATGCGTACAAAGACAAATGGTATTATTTTGAAACTTTCTACAAGGTGATTGAATCTCATTTTTTTTTTGCTTGTTGTTGCTTGGTTTTATAATATTTCTTTTGCAGGCTACATGGTTCAAGGCCTTCATGGCCTGCAATAGAATGGATATGGAATTGTTGAGCATTGATTCCAATGAGGAGTTCGATAAAATTCATGAGTTCGTCAAGAATAAAAGTAAGTTGTTTTTTCATTTCCAAGTGAAATGCGTATCTTTTTATACTGGTTTTGCAGCGGAATATAAGAATAATCAGGACCTCTGGACGTCGGGGACGATGAAGGATGCAGGTCAATTCAATTGGATGTACACCGGAAATCCGGTTAGTGTGTCTAGATGGCATACGGGCCAACCGAACAATTATGGTGGAAAGCAGTTTTGCCTGCACATGTGGTTGGATAAAAATCAGTTCCGGCTGAACGATATGGAATGCTTTAAAGAAAAGTACTTTATATGCGAATCGAGGAAAATTTTAATAAAAGATCTATAATGTTTTGAATATAATACCGAAAATAGAGACAAAAAAAAAATGCTATAATAAACATATAAATATAAACGTTTTAGATTAAAATTATTCAATTTACCATAAATCATATCTAACGTAAGTTAACGTTCCATTTCATACTAAGATTGAGAAATTTCTTAATTAGATTTTCTAAATTTTGTAATCTTGTTTTGAAGGAAAAAGAAAAACTGCATTACGTCGAACATATTTATATTTTCATTTGATCGTTTAACAAGAAGGCACTTCTAGGTAAAGCTGAATGAAGAGTTAACTTTGTTACGAGCTATTTTCTCCGGTGTTCCTCAAGGTAGTGTTTCAGGGCCCTTACTATTGTGGTGCTCATTCCAGACCACTTTGTACCCTATATATCATACTGTATTGTAACTAGCCATGATTTACTCTAATAAATATTATACTACGAGCATCTCCAAACTATACTTGCTATTCGGTGGCTGCTATCGCCGACGACACTGCAATTCTTGCTCCACACGGCAACCCAACAACTGCTCCAATTAAGCTTAAATAACATCCAAACTTAGCTCAAGAAATGGATGATTAAAGCCAAAGAGAGCAAGTCTTTGCATGTGACATTTACCATTCGCCGATTGCTCTCAACAACTATCCCCTACCACAAGCTGATTCTATAGCTCAAATTGTCATTACTAGATTCACATTATTGCGAATTGTTTATATAAACATTAACTTGGGAATATGCAGATAATTTGGAATAAAACGACTTTTGTTGTTGAACTAAATTAGAAGTAAATGTTTTGTACTAATGTTTACAAAAAAAATGCTGCAAAATTGATTTGAGTATATCTTTATTCGTTCTACTAATAGAATATGTTGCGTAATAAATAATTATTAAATGGAACTCGTTCATATATCTGCTGACCTGTGTGGACTTCAAGATTATTTACGTGACAACGAACTTAATCTCGGATTTTTTCTCTGTATATAATGCGCTGCAGTATTCTAATGTATTCAGTGTTGCTGCGAAGATGAACCTGAAACTGTTGGTGATTTCCTTGGTTGCGTTTTGCAGTTTCTCGGCTCCGACTTACGTGAATGATAAACTCTATTATTTCGAAACTTACTTCAAGGTGATTGAATCGGAATTTTGTGTTTGCTTTTCTTAAACATTCTTTTTGTGCAGGCGTCATGGTTCAAAGCCTATATGACTTGCAGTAAAATGGGCATGGAATTGTTGAGCATTGATTCCGTTGAGGAGTTCGATAAATTTCATACGCTCGTCAAGGATATTGGTAAGTCGTTTTTCGTTTCCGAATGAAATTTGTATCTCTTTATACTGGTTTTGCAGTGGAATATAAGAATAATCTGGACCTCTGGACGTCGGGGGCGATGAAGGATGCAGGCCAATTTTATTGGATTAATACAGTAAATCCGGTTCTCTCTTCAAAATGGCATCCGGGCGAACCGAACAATAAAGGAGGAATGGAGTTCTGCTTGCATGTTTTTTTGGATAATAAACAATTCCTGCTGAACGATTTGGAATGCAGTATAGAAAAGTACTTTGTATGCGAATCGAGGAAAATTTAAAAAAAAATCCATAATGTTTGAATATAAAACTGAAAATAGACAGAGAAAAATGCTATAATAAACATAAAAACGTTTTAGATTAAAATTATTCAATTTACTATAAATCATATCTAACGTAAGTTAAGGTTCCATTTCATTCTAATATTGAGAAATTTCTTAATTAGATTTTGTAATCTTGTTTTGAAGGGAAAAGAAAAACTGCGTTTGTAATAAACACAAAAGTTTTGTACTAATATCACTGACATTGCCAGACATTACGTCGAACATATTTATATTTTCAGTTGATCGTTTAACAAGAAGGCACTTCCAGGTAAAGCTAAATGAAGAGTTAACTTTGTTACGAGCTATTTTCTCCGGTGTTCCTCAGGGTAATATTTTGGGGCCCTTACTATATTTGCTATTTACACCGCTTCACAACTGCTCCAATTAAGCTTGAATAACATCCAAGCTTAGCTCAAGAAATTGAGGACTAAAGCCAACGAGAGCAAGTTTGTGAATGCTTTCGTGTCCCAGGGATGGATTTCTGGACACTGTGGAATATCTTCTTCTGTTGTCTGTTGTTGAGTCTTAGGTTTGATAAATAATAAATTGAGCGAGGTTTACTTTCGGTTTATTACGACTTGATTCTTTAACTTTCTCCTAAGACTAATTGCAAATACTTATTCTACGTATAAAGTTAACTAAGCAAGGAGATGGGAGTTTGAGGAGTAGGGTACGGTTTTGATAAGACGCTCTGCTTCAGATTTACTCCCATACGGATTTTGCCAATTCTGCGTCTGGTTTATCAGTTGAAAATAGGAAGGAATGTTACAATCGGTCTCACGGTGAAGGTTCCCTTTATGCTGATGTATATAATTACACAAAGGCTAAAAGGTAACAACTGTCACTTCAGAATAAGATTCTCGTCTATAAATTTATCATAAAACCGATTTGGACATATGGAACTCAATTATGGTGGTCTGTATGTAACACTACAATCTAATTGTATACTTTTGTCATATAAAGTTTACTTCATCTTTTCAAACATTTTATAGGTCAAATTGTCATTACCAGTTTTACATTATTATCGAATTGATTATATAGACATTAATTTGTGAATATACAGATAATTTGGAATAAAACGACTTTTGTTATTGAACTAAATTAGAAGTAAATGTTTTATACTAATGTTGCCTTTAACTTAAAGAAATAATTTACAAAAAATGCTGCAAAATTGATTTGAGTATTTAATTATTCGTTCTAATAGTAGAATATGTTGCGTGCTAAATAATTATCAAATGAAAATTGACCTGTGAAGACTTCAAGATTACTTATGTACCAACAAATTTATTTCCCGGATTATTTCTCTGTATATAAAGCGCTGCAGTATTCGCATATTTTTTTCAGTGTTGCTGCAAAGATGAATCTGAAACTGTTGGTGATTTGTTGTTGTTGTAGTCTACATTTTGTAAGCTTGAAAGATCATATAAAGTCGACTTCTTCAACTGCTTTAAAGGGCTATTGGCCATAGATCTTTCTGCTCTGATTTTTTTTTAAATTATTAAACTGTCATAAAAGAAGCGTTACCATTTAATATGTAAATAACTTTGAAATGAAACAATGAAATTGTATATTTTTGTCATCAACAGTTTATTTCATCTTTTCAATATTTTATTCGCGAAATTGGCAACAGTTAGTATTTTTTACTAAAGTTATTAATCGTTAAATGTTGACCTTAAAAATGCAACAAAAAAAAAACGTTTTTTTTTTCAGATATTTATGAATCTTGTTCAAATATCAGTTGACCTGTGACCTCGGATTTGCTCTGCACATAAAACGTTGCATTATTCATAATATTTTTTTAGTATTGTTGCAAAAACGAATCTGAAATTGTTGGTAATTTGTTGTTGTTGTCTTAGTCTACATTTTGTAAGCTTCAAAAATCATATAAAGTTTGAATTTGCAATCATTGTCGTTCTTGACGATATTCTTGGGATTCTCGTACAGCAGTTCTAAACAAATGTTGTTGGGTTAATCGGTAATCCCGGTGTTAATCCAAGCGAACTTCAACGATTTGTTGTCCAGAATTTGTTGTAATTATAGCGATACAATAAATATAAAGTTAAACCGTTTTCATGATGTAATCTTTCACTTCTTGGAATTCTGATAGAATGTGAACTGCGGACCAGAAGCTCTTCAGCAACTCACAAAAACAATAACAAATTTATATAGTATTTCAAGTTGAAAGTAAATTTTAACTAATAATAAATACATGTTAATGCTGTTTTTAGTATAAAAGGATTAAGTATAGTACTGGTAATAATACGCCTGAAAAGAACCAATTTTGCGTGAGCGAAGTCTCCAGTGTAAACGATACGGCGAATATATTCGCCGCTCGTCCGCAAAGTCTTAACGTTTTAAATTTACTATTACAAACTTAATTTAGTCTTTATTAAAAAAATAACACAATATACAAGTATTATCTATATTGAAAAGGACATCAATATTCCCCTACACCAGCGTTTTCCAAACTGTGAGGCGCGAATATTGGTCACAGTGAGCAATTTTCCAAATGACTGCTAAAGTTTTATGAAAAATGATTAAATATTTTTAAGGTGGGCGTAGTAACATCAAGTTTGGAAATCACTGCCCTACAGTGTGTATCCTTGACAGACGATGTAATTGAGTGCCAAACAAGTAATATCGTTCATAAGCATCACGTTGATGCTCTCGTGAAATTTCACTTCGACGCAATTTTCGAGTCCAAAAAAGTTATTGGGCTGCAGGTATTCCCACTTGTGCGTTACGGTTATCGGTAAACCGGTGTTGATCCAACCGAACTGCAGCGGTCCCATCGCCACTCCGGACGTCCAAAACTGGCTCCATCTAGCGTTCGGCACTGAAACATAAACACCAAATGAACATTGAAAATAAAAATAAAAAAACAAAGGGAACGCACGTGTCTTCACGAGAAAGTCTTTCAACTCGTCGAACTCCTGTAGATTGTTGAAGCTGACCAATTCCATTCCCAATCTGGAGCAGTACATGGACGCCTGAAAGAACGTCGCCTGCAAATCGAGAATTTCGTCGAAATCAGTTTGAATATAATATTAATAATAACCTTGAACAGCAATTCCATTCGATAATGTTTAGTGCCCTTTGTGAGATTTGCAGTTTCGAGATTTGCCTTCTCGACGATCGAATCTGCAGCCCCAACTGCGATCACCAGAATCAACCAAAAATACTTCATGTTCGCAACTGTACGCATTGTTGACATTCGCACACGCTTTTATAACAGGAAATAAAGTAAAAAATTAACGTTGTTTTTCATTGATAAATTGTTGATAATCGAGACAACAACAATAATATTTACGGCTTCTAACAGCTGGAAACACAAGGAGGCGGTGATAATAATAAATGGTTCTTAAAAATCCAAGTTAACGATTCTTCAAGGTCGCATTTTCAACTGTTTTCATTTTGCGAAACAGCTGTGTATTAACACGTTGTTTTGTATACATATTCTCCTGTGTAAAGTATAAGGCGGATATATCCGCCGGCTCGTACGCAATTGATTAATTTGAAGAAAACATGGACTGTAAACAGCATACATTTGTATAGTAAATATTATTTTAAGAGAGAAGTAAAAGAAAAATCTAAATTTATATGAATTTGAACTAATAACTTTGAAATGAATGCATGTTTCAATGTAAACCGATACGTCACTTCTAAATGCGCGTTGTTATCTTGTTTACACATAATTATTTCAAGAAAAACATTAATAAGTCTCTTCATCAAAGTTTTAACAATAACAAAGATTCTAAATGTTACATTTATTTAATTAGATACAAAAGTTTGTTTTTAATTCACTTTGTTTAGGGTTATGTAACTGGTTTTTATTTGTTTAATATTGGTAGGTTACTAAGTTAATTTATGTTGGTAATTGTTTTTATTTTATAGGTTTTTTTTGTTGTTGCTGTTGATCGTCTGAAATGATGTAATTGATGTTTCAATGGTTGCGTTTCAAAATGTTTAGGAAGAAACATGTGACTTCAACCTTAAATGAGGGGATTAATATTTGTATGAGGTGAGTAGTGGTAAGCATGTATTAAGTTAATTTAAATATGTTGAGTAGATATAAGATTTTAATTTAAAAAAAAAATCAAGAAGGCGAAAAAAACAATGAATATGTCAGTCGTCTGACAGTTGCTTGTTAATTGTGTTGTGAATAATCGTGGGGTAAGATTCTTAATTATTTTAATTTGAATTGTAATCTTATAACTGAAAAACGGTGCATAACACATCTCTAGCAATAGTTTCATTGGAAAGGCTATAGTTTTAACTTTAATTTTTATATTCAATGATTTAATTGGTATTTACGGTTGTTGAGTAATTAAATAAAATATAAAGTGAAGAAAATTTGAGCACAATCTATTTCTTCAATAATCAAGTAGGAACATTTTTGACAGTTTATAATATAAGAACAGTGCATAGCACATCTTTATCAATAGTTTCGTTGGAAAGGCCATAAATTTATCTTTAACTTGAATATTCAATGATTTAACTAGTTTATATGGTTGTTGAGTATTTAAATTAATTTTGAAGTGAAGTGAAGTAAACTTGAACACAATTAATCAAGTAGGAATCACATCGCAAAGGTATACTTCTAGTACTAGATTGATTACCTTGAGATCATCTCGTTCGTGGGCCAATCGACTTCTCCATATTTATCGGTGCACATGCAGATTATCGCACCGTAACAGAATCCCACCAAAGTGGCCGTTCCCAATCCGATTAATTCGCTTTGAACTCCGATCCTCTGCAGCATCCGATCCCTTATTACCGATCCGAATGTTCCTGCCATCACCGGACCCTGAAAACCATACATCGAATTACGTTGGTAAAAAAAGTTTCATACTAAATGCTAAATGCAAAGAACACTTCTCCAATCACTTAGTTTTATTTCCAGCGTAAGATAAAAACAATAGTTTTATGATAAATTTGCATATTTGATTAATTAGATTTCGAACGTAGTTATCGTTAACAACATATAGTAGTGGATATATCAAAATATGTGGAATTTAATGTATTAATGGAATATATAAAAAGTTTTCAAATAATTGTACAAAATTCATTAAACTTGTTAAAAATTACCAAATTTTAATAACTTATTACAGGAACATTTTAAATGCTACATATCTAATAGATGATTCATTAGAAAGGTCATAATTTTATCTTTAATTTGCATCTTGATACATTTAATTACTCTGCGTAGTTGTCTAGTAATAGATATAAACGTAAAACATACTTCTTTTCAAACTCTTGTTTGTTGTGCTAATTTTAAAAACTTTGTAATAGACGGACGACGCGTACCACAAATCTAGTAGTTGACTCATTGGAAAGGTTAAAATTTTCTATTTATTTAGCACGTTCAACGATTTAATTAGTTTACGTGGTTATCGAGTAATCAAATAAAAGGTGAAGATATTAAAACAAACAGTAACATTTTCATATCTCAGTCATGCATTAACATTACATAAAAGTACTTACATAAATTTATAATATTTCTTGTAATATAATGATAAAATATAATAATTTTCTTGTTATTATTTAAAAAAATCTAAAAACTAATTGCAATTTTTTTCTTATTAAATATTTCGAAATTGCAAAAAAAAACTTGTTTAATTATTCAATTTTGATAGTTTATAACAGAATAACGACGAAATCGACAAAGATCGTATTAGACTCATTGGAAAGGGCGTAGATTTATCTTTAATTTGCTTTTTTAATGATTTAATTAACTTACGTGGTTATCGAGTAATCAAATAAAAGGTGAAAACATTTCGAAAAATTTTGATCAACTTTTGATATCTTATAGCAGGACAATGAAGTATACTATAAATCTGGTAATAAGCTTATTGAAAAGGCCATAGTATTGTCTTTAATTTGTATATAATCTAATTAGTGTGCGAAGGAATAAAATCTATATATATATAGAAGTTTTCCAGATATTGTAACATTTTTTTCAATTATGACACGTTACTGTAACATATTAGTGCAAATTCCAAATTAGATCTAATCTTATGTCAATTAAAACTTAAATTATGTCGAAGAAAAACGATCAAGCAGTTGACTTGGACGTTGATATGTGGTTCAATTAGTCGCAAAGTGTACTAAAAACGTCGACGAAAAACCTTCTGCACGTTAACGACTTTAATACGTAAGTGTATTGGAACATTGAATTTTCTTAAAGAGTGAGCGAGTGAGTGAGTGTGTGAAAAGTGTTCCCCGATTAGCATAGTATCCTTAACCTGGATATATAAGAAATACCAACCATCATGGGCGAGATTAGCATGCTAGATAAGAGATAGACGTTGCTGTTCTCCACTAACCCGATGGCACACAAAATCCTGCGTTCGGAAAGCAATGCGTAGAAGAAAAGCAGCAGCAACAGACAATTCGTTTTCTAGTTAAGAAATTAAATGTAAAATTTCGAATCGCAGACTCACGTCGCGATGACCAGCAAACAAATGAAATCGAACGTCACAGCCGCCTCGGACTTGAGGACCTCCACGATCTGGGCCACGGTTAATCTGGCTCTCACCGAAGACACGAATCTAGTCCAGGCCGTATCCGGCACATCCTTTTTCCTTTTTTTTTTAAAACACATCATCAGTATCATCAGTATCATAAATTGCTTAAAAAAAAATAAATAAAAAAACTCACTCTTCCTGATTATCCACGGTGAAAGTCTCATCCGCCTTCTCGCACCCTTGATAGTACAAACTACAAGGTATGATACTAATCGTCGATTCGTAACGAAGACCCACGTTGTGATCTTTCAGGATCTCCAAAATCTCCTCGCACTTATCACCAGCTTCTATAGTGAAGATCATTTGAACGAAATTCGAATCCAGATTATGCGACCAAGCGGTCTTCTCCATCCTATACGTGACCAGAATATCGTGCACTAACTGAAATCATCAACTCTTCGAAAAAACAAAACATCATCGAAACAAAACAAACCTTCTCCATGGAAACGTATTGATAGTTATCCCTGTTCGGGGAAGATTCCACGATGACCTCATCGTCGCTGCTGCTCTTGTTTTTGAAGATCGATTCAGAGCTGGACCATCTCTTCTTTCCCGTCGTCTTAATGAAGACTCTGCGATGGGATTTGCTCTTAAGTTTTGCTTCGAAATCGCCGTTCGGCACGCACACGATGAACACGAAACCCGTCATCGTTTTCGGTTTCAAAAACTGAAGAAATCGAGTACATTTTCGATCCCAAAAATTGTACAGAAAAAAAATAGACTTATCTATCGAAAATAGAAATCGTACAAATAAAAAAAAAAAAAACGTATTTATTTCTACATTATTTAGTAACAATTAACGCAGCTATTTTCGGTCACAGAAAACGTTATTCGTGTTTACTAACAATTAGCATTGGTTTACTAAATAAAAAAAAAATATAGTTTCATTCATGTATAGATATAGAGTAATTGTAGATGAAATAATTAATAAATTTACCCAAATTTTTTGTAAATTTAAGTAATAATTAGATTTAAACACTGAATCAAATGTAAAATTGTTTTTTTTTTTAAATATTCACTTTAAGTTAATAAGGTTTAGTGTTTCAAAGAGTTTTATTTTTGTCACCCTACAAAAGTGTTATTTTTAGACAAGTATTTTTAGTATAGTGAAGTAATTATTTCCGTTATGTTTTATCTTGTTTCTAAAAGAAAACATTAATTAACGTAAGTAATTGTATTTTTTTTTGTGCGAGTGCAAAGTCTTGTTATCTTATATTTACTTTTGGCATTATCAAAATCCGAAATCTGTAGGTATTTATTGACGTATAACGTTTAGTAATATTGTAGAAAAAAAAACATATGTCATTACTTCATTTTTGAAAGCGAATTACAGCCAAATGGATGAACACCCACAGTAATAATTGAATATATGTTGTATTCCAAATATATCCTAGTTTCTCAAGCGTCTTTTGGATCTATTATATGTATTATAGTTTTTGAGAAAATTAATAAAATCTAAGACACTTTTTGAAAGTTATTTTTTCGGTACTTCTCTTGTGAACACGAATTACAGATTAATGAATGAGATCATAAAAATATTTAAATATACGTTTTATGCCTCAAACATCTGAGTTTCATATACATCTTTTGGATTTACTTTATTTATTACAGTTTTTGAGAAAATCTCTTAAATGTTAGACACTTTTTTAGTGTTATTTTTTCAGTATTTTTCTTGTAAACACGAATTACAGATTAACGAATGAGGTCATAGAAATATTCAAATACACGTTGCATGCCCCAAACATCTAAGTTTCATATGCATTTTTAAGATTTACTTTACCTATTATAGTTTTTGAGAAAATCACTAAAATATAAGACACTTTTTTAGTATTTTTTTTTCAATATTTCTCGTGTGAAAACGAATTACAGACTAACCAATGACACCATAGAAATTTTCAAATACACATTGAATGTCCCAAATATTTAAGTTTCATATGCATCTTTTGGATTTACTCCATCTATTATAGTTTCTGAGAAAATCACTAAAATGTAAGACACTTTTTGAGTATTATTTTTTCTGTAATTCTCTTGTGAATATGAATTACAGATTAACGAATGAGACCATAGAAATATTCAAATACATGTTTTATGCCCCAAATATCTAAGTTTTATATACATCTTTTGGATTTACTCTATCTATTATAGTTACTGAGAAAATTAATAAAAATCTAAGACACTTTTTAAAACTTATTTTTTCGGTACTTCTCTTGTGAACACGAATTACAGATTAACGAATGAGACCATAAAAATATTTAAATATACGTTTTATGCCTCAAACATCTGAGTTTCATATACATCTTTTGGATTTACTCTATCTATTATAGTTTTTGAGAAAATTACTTAAATGTAAGACACTTTTTAAGTGTTATTTTTTTCAGTATTTCTCTTGTAAACACGAATTACAGACTAACCAATGACACCATAGAAATTTTCAAATACACATTGCATGTCCCAAATATTTAAGTTTCATATGCATCTTTTGGATTTACTCCATCTATTGTAGTTTCTGAGAAAATCACTTAAATATTAGACACTTTTTGAGTGTTATTTTTTCAGTATTTCTCTTGTAAACACGAATTATAGACTAACGAATGACACCATAGAAATATTCAAATACAGGTTTCATGTCCTAACATCTAAGTTTCATATGCATTTTTTAGATTTACTTTACCTATTATAGTTTTTGAGAAAATCACTAAAATATAAGACACTTTTTTAGTATTTTTTTTTCAATATTTCTCTTATGAATATGAATTACAGATTAACGAATGAGATCATAGAAATATACAAATACACATTTTATGCCCCAAACATCTAAGTTTTATGTACATCTTTTGGATTTACTCTATCTATTATAGTTTTTGAGAAAATCACAAAAATGTAAAGACATTATTTTTAATGCTTACATTTTTCATTACTTAAATTACACCTAAAATATGTGTATTTTTGTTTCCTTACAAAAGTTAAGCAAGATGTTAAGCATCTATTATTGAATGGATGATGGAAATAATACTAAATTCGTTTTACTTAAGTAAACTAGAAGATACTAGGAATAATTTGAATAAACTTTACTTAATTAATCACAATTATTATGAATGATTCATAAGCGATAATTTATAATTTCCTTATGACTATACTCATTTTTTTTTTTGAATCATGCAGTTGGAAATTATTCATATAAACAATTTTGCAGAGAAACACGTTTTTACATCACAAATTTTTTTTTTGCTACATTGAGTAATAAGTTTAAAAATAGATTTTTTTTTCATTAATAAAATCGTGGGTGCTAAAAATTTGTTCAATTTTTTTTTGTTGTTGTTATCTATAAAAATAGAACTGGGTGGTTGACATTCCTAATGAAGTTCCATTGTGACTTGATCGCCTCTTATGACTTCACCAAATACGCGGACCGAGTTTCTCCCCATTAGTGGAGACGCCAAGTTCAAAAGGGAAATTAGCACCTCACCGTTAGCAAAAAAATGAAAAGAAAAGAGTGAAAATACAAAAATACACAACAGAATTTTCCACAATTCATCTGCGCCAAGTATTAATAACGACAACAACAAGAAGAAGAAGAAAAAAATAGAAATAAATAACCTCGTCGATCGATGATCACTAATTTGCAGATGACTTCAATTAGGTTGCGCCGATTGGACTCGGCCGTAATTAAAGAGTTGGCTGTGATTAAGCACGTACGAGTTTCCAATTAAACTCTATTCTGGTATTGCGCGTATTTGTTTTGTTTCTACGTATCACAATTTGGTTTTTTTTATTTGCAGTTGGTAATCAGTTTCAATAGTCCAATTAGCAAAAACGAATGATTAATTTTGATTGACAGTTATTCGCCTCAGTTACCAACTTTGCAACAACAACAAAAAAAATAGGAAAATCTGAGAATTAATCATGGTTACCAATTTTGAAAAAACAAATTATTCGTTTGGTAAATTAGTTACCACAGCAACTAGTTATTAAATTCTATAACTAAGTTCACACAATAGGTGACGCTACTAGAAATTGTATATTCTGATGTAAGATTACTAAGTTTTCAGTTAATAATTCTATATAAATATTTTGGATCCTTAACCTTCGACAAATCGATTACACGAAATCCGGTTAGCATCTGATCAGATATCTGGTTTTATCTGATTTTTTTCGGGGAAAAAAATACAAAGATTTTTATCCTACTCGTTAATGTACAATTAATCGAAGCAATTAATTAATAATTTGTTTTTAACATGTTTTTTTTTGTTTGTTTTGCACTCGTCGTTAATATCTCAGATTTTCTCATAAAGATTGTAAAATAGAAAAAAAAATAATAATTGTGTTTATAATTGCCGTGTAAATGTAATAAACAAAACAAAAACGCATGAAAATTGTAAAAATAAACTACATTCAATTATGAATATTTAATGAAATATTATCAGAAATTGTATAGTAATATAAAAATATGAATATCAGGGCTGTGTGGTGGTTATTTTGGGCCCTAAAAACCTTTTAAGTAAGAGATGATGAGGAATTGTAGGCAATAACAAAATATGTATACTTTAATTGTAATTCCAATTTTTAAAAAAATTTTTATAGGTCATGTGCCTAATTCGGCCCTGTATTTTAATTTAAAAAAAAATCAAGAAGGCGAAAAAAAAAACAATGATTATGTCACTCGTCTGACAGTTGATTTTTAATTGTGTTGTGAATAATCGTGGGGTATATTTCTTAATTATTTTAATTTAAATTGTCATCTTTTTTATATTGATCTTACAATTAATCGTTTTCAAGGATTTTTCAGTAATTACGTTACAAAATATTACATTTATTTAATAAGATACAAAAGTTTGATTTTAATTTGCTTTGTTATTTTCTGAGGGTTATGTAACTGGTGTTTATTTGTTTAATATTGGTAAGTTACTAAGTTAATTTATGTTGGTAATTGCTTTATTTTATAGGGTTTTTGTTGTTGTTGATCGTCAGAAATGATGTTTCAATGGTTGCGTTTCAAAATGTTTAGGAAGAAACATATGACTTTAATCTTAAAGTTTGTTGTTTTAGGGGATTCATATTTGTATGAGGTAAGTATTGGTAAGCATGTATTAAATTAATTTAAATATGTTGAGTAGATATAAGATTTTAATTTAAAAAAAAAAGAACAAGAAGGCGAAAAAAAGCAATGATTATGTCACTCGTCTGACAGTTGCTTGTTAATTGTGTTGTGAATAATCGTGGGGTAAGATTCTTAATTATTTTAATTTGAATTGTAATCTTTTTTATATTTATCTTACAATTAATAGTTTTCAAGGATTTTTCAGTAATTACGTTACAAAATATTACATTTATTTAATTAGATACAAACGTTTGTTTTTAATTCGCTTTGTTTAGGGTTATGTAACTGGTTTTTATTTGTTTAATATTGGTAGGTTACTAAGTTAATTTATTTATGTTGGTAATTGTTTTTAATTTATAGTTTTTTTTGTTGTTGTTCGTCTGAAATGATGTAATTGATGTTACAATACATATTGTTGATGTTACATATTGGTCTTACAATTAATCGTTTTTAAGCATTTTTCAGTAATTACGCTACAAAATATTACATTTATTTAATAAGATACAAAAGTTTGTTTTTAATTCGCTTTGTTGTTTATGTTGTTAATTTAT